AAAAAAAAAAAAAAAAGCCTTCAGCCACCGACAGAGTGTTGCGGGCAGAGTCGAGGTCCATGACCAGTGCCCTGTAGAGCGCCCAGGCACGTGATGTGGTTTTTAACAAGGGCGCGAAAACCAGCCAACTGGGGGGAGTCTTTCCTCAGCTGGGGAAATGGCGCCCACAGTGAGATCCTCCCTTCACCCCGCACACCAAGGCTAGCTTGAAACAGGTCTGTGACCTGCACAGGACACCCGGGAACATAAAGCTCCTAGAACACATGGGCAGTGACCTCGCACCCTGACATTGGCAGTGACTCGTCAAGTCTGGCAAAGGCACAGGCAGCAGAAGCAAAACCAGACCCAACTCCCGGAACTAAAATGTGGGCATCACTGGACGCCATGGTCAGAGCGTCCAGGGAATCCCCAGAACAGGAGGCGGCGCCGTGATCCCGGCAGGTCGTAGGGCTAGTGTCCGGAACGCATGAAGGACTCCTGAGCCTAACCACGCTGCCAGCAGCCCGAATCAGACGTGGGCCCAGGCCCTAGGCAGACATTTCTAAGAAAAGGACACTCAAATATACCGTGGCCAACAAGCAGGCGAGAAGCTGCTCAGCTCCACTGTCATCAGGAAGCCAGACCAAGCCAGGGGAGACCCCCTCGCCCGCCAGTGTGGCTCCCACAAGACGGAAATCAGAGGGCAGCTGTCAGAGGCACGGGCAGCAGCTGGAGCCCGGCACGTGGTCCACCAGCCACTCCCGGAGTGTCCAGGAGCACTGCGGCCAGGGTCTGCAGGAGTCCCGCACACTCAGGTCAGTGGCACCCTTCGGCAGTGACAGCCTGGAGCCACCCAGCCGTCCAGCCACAGGTGGAGGGAGATAGGGACCAGAGATGCTCCACGGGGCAGGAGACCTAGGGACTTCCCATTAAGTGAAGTGAGCCAGGCCCAAGAGGACCAGAATCACAGGAGCCACCACGGGCATCTCCGGCACTGGTCAGATGACGGGGACAGAGAGAGGACGCACTGCCAGGGACTCCTGTGCAGTGGGCTTCAGTCAGGGGGTGGTGCCCAGCACGGGGTGTGACCACGCCTTCCATCCTGAGGCACCTCGGGGATCTGAAAGATCACTGCAGTCTGGCGTGGTTGGGCCCTGACTCGTGACTCAGGCTTTCCCGCGCGGACAGCAAGGCCAGCCCTCTGAGCAGGCACACCCCTGGGGTCGAGCTACGCTCACTGTTCCTCTGTGATATTACCCCTTTACCCTGTTTGGGATAGAATGTCCCATGGAAACGACCCTTGTGTCCCCTTCTCTTGCTCTGCCCTTGGGTGTGGCCTTCCTAGATGTCAGTCAACCTGCTGACAGTGGACATCGTGAAGCTAGACTCAGCCCCCTGAAACCTGGCCCCTGCCTCCTTTGAATGGCTTTACTTCAATCACAGGGTTCAATGCTCTCTTTCCACGGACCCCTAAGGTCAGAGGAGCTGTCCCAGGACCCAAAGCCAAAGGTCTCTCTGTCTCTGTGTGGTCATTTCATGCAGCCCAGTTCCCCTGGAGTGACCCTGAGTGTTTAGTCATGGGACGTGACAACTAGGGATGGAGGTGATAATACCAAACCGCACACTTCAAACAGTTAGGACAGTCAGCTTTATGCTCTGTGTACTTGACTGCTATAAAGACGATCGTGGGGCTGGGGCTGGCGCTCCGTGGTCGAGCGCTTGCCTACACCTGTGGGTCCATCCTCAGCACCACATAAAAATAAATCAATAGAATGAAGGTACTGTGTCCAACTACAACTAAAAAGAAAATTGTGTGTGTGTGTGTGTCCTACAAATCAGCAAAAGGCACTCTGGGAACAGGGGACTCACAACCAGGCAACTTACAAGGTTGGCGGATGCCAGTGGTCAGACTGTGCTGCTGAACCCAGAGACAGGCTGGGCCGGGGCTCGGGGGCAGAGCGCTCACCTGGCATGTGGGAGGCGCGGGCCCATCCTCAGCCTCACATAAAATAAACAAGTAAACAAAGAGACGGTGTGTCCCTCTATCACTAAAATAATATTTTAAAAAAGACAAAACCCCAAGACACCCAGGGCAGACCCACAGGCCGCTGTCTTTCCCCCGGGGGGAGGGCCCACGGGCCAGAGGCGCCCTCCCTCCAGGCCGTGGCCAGGCCTAGCCCCACCTCTCCCGGGAGCATCTGGCCRCAGGCTGGGGAGCCCCGACACTGTGCAGACCCCAGCTCACGGCAGCCTCTGTGGCAGGCTCAGGAGGCGGACCCTGGTCTGGCTGGGCTTGGCTCTGGCCTCCAGGCTGCCCATGCAGAATGCTGCTTCTAAGGTGGCCTGATCCCAGTGTGTCCTGAGGATAGGGACCGGCTCCCAGGCCGGCTGTGAGGAGCACTCCCCGGCCCCTGCCRTCCCAGGTCCTACACCAGGGTCCCCCGGCTCTGTGTGAATGTGTAGAGAGGCAGGGGGCCGTGGAGGCTGTGGAAAAGGGGAGCATCTCACCATTTGTGTTTTCCTAAGATGATCACAAGAGCGTTTCCCCAGCCTTTGAACAGGGTTCTGCAGTGTGAGCAGAGCTGAGGGGTGGTGTACCAGGGGCTGCCCCCCACTGTGGGCAAGGGACATGGGTGCTCTTAAGCCTGCCTGGCTCTAACACGAGGAGACGAAGGCCCCGCTCGGGTGGTAGGTCCTGGTGCTGATCCGGTGACCACCCCGCCCCTTCTAGGTGCAGGCCATCCCTCCCCACCCATGGCCCCCAGATGGCCCGAGAGACCTGAGGTGGGTCTCCACACAGAGCCGCCCGSGCCACAGTCAGCAGCATCCTGGGGGCGGCTGACACCAGAGCCTGGGGCCGGAGCCACGCTCACGGAGGGGACGAGTGGCCAGGTGAAGTGCGCCTGGACTGTCCCCTGGGTGCCTGCTCCCCCAAGGCCTCAACAGCTTCCCCACCCACCTGCAGGCACCAGACATGTGGGGGGGCACACCCTGCAGAGGGACACGCGGCCCAGTGCTCGGCCCCTCCAGCCTGCCCTGGGAAACCTGGCCTCACTCTTGCCAAGGGCCCCTGGGCCCAGGACCACGCCCTGTGTGCGTGGGCAGGCAGCAACCCCCAGCCTCACCCCCACCYACGCCGCCTGCAGCTTCTCTCCCAGGGCCCGGGGCCGCCTGCAGCTTCTCTCCCAGGGCCCGGGGCCGCCTGCAGCTTCTCTCCCAGGGCCCGGGGCCGCCTGCAGCTTCTCTCCCAGGGCCCGGGGCCGCCTGCAGCTTCTCTCCCAGGGCCCGGGGCCGCCTGCAGCTTCTCTCCCAGGGCCCGGGGCCGCCTGCAGCTTCTCTCCCAGGGCCCGGGGCCGCCTGCAGCTTCTCTCCCAGGGCCCGGGGCCGCCTGCAGCTTCTCTCCCAGGGCCCGGGGCCGCCTGCAGCTTCTCTCCAGGGCCCGGGGCCTGCTTTGCCTCTGGCCGTGGTGAGAGAAGGCAGGGCAGAGACCCGGAACCTTTCCTTTTTTTGGCAAGTGTGAGGGGCTCCACGCCAGACTGAGGAACAGGGAAACCCGTGAGTCTCAGGCCTCTGTGTGGTCCTGATCCTTCCAAGGACACTCTTTGAGGTTCCCACGTGAGCCCCAGCTGGGCCATCTCTGGGGCAGTCCTGCTAGCCTGCGGGTGCTGGGGTGGGCTCCCCCTGGTTCTAGGGTGGTGGCAGCACTATCCACGGGCTCAGCCCGGCTCACAGGGGCCCTGCTAGGGCCTGAGCACACTGGGGGCAGGGCTAGCTGCAGGCTCTCTCAATCGCCGGACCCCCTCCCCCGCTGCCCCAGGAGCTCCCAGGACCACAGGCTCCTGTCCTTCCCAGTGCCCAGAAGAGCGGCCAGCGCCCCAGGACCTGTGCCCAAGTCCACGTAAGGGGGGTCTTTCCATGAAGCGGTTTGGGCTCCTCAGCCCTCCCACGTTTCCAGGCAGGATAAACCCAACCTGTGGCACACCCCGACAGGGAGGGAGTCGGGCTGTCCCGGGTCCTCTGAGAGCGGCGTCCCCTCCGCAGCCTGCTGCCCCAGGTGCTGCGGGGAGACCAGCCAGGGCGGGCCAAGGCGGGCTCAGGGCAGGCGCCCAGGAGGCTGGAGCCCTGCCTGCTGCGCCTCTCGGACAGCTCACCCAGGCCCACGCTGGACGCACCGACGGCGCGGCCAAGCAGTGGCGGCACTTACCTGGCTGCCTGGACACGGCGGGCCAAGGAAGCTCTGGGTCCTGACCGCCCCAGATACAGCCGTCGAGTGGGCAGGAGAAAGGGAGGGGACAGAAGGAGGGGCCGCGGGAGGGACCGCAGGGCCGCCCACTTTGTCCCTGCCAGCCCGCCCTGGGTACACTGGACAGGCGGCCACCTGGAGGCGCTGCGGCCCTGTGGATGAACAGGAGGGGTTCCCTGCCAGGGGCTAGAGGAGAGCAGGGACTGGAGCTGGGAGATAGAGAAGGAGATGGGGCAGGAGGAGGGAGAGAAGGAGATGAGGGAGGAGGAGATGGG